CTCCCGTTGCGGAGCACAGGCTCCGAACGCGCAGGCTCAGCGGCCATGGCTCATGGGCCCAGCCTAGCCGCTCCACGGCATGTGGGATCTTCCTGGACCGGGACACGAACCCGTGTCCCCTGCATCCGCAGGCAGACTCTCAACCACTGCGCCACCAGGGAAGCCCGGGGACTCGTTTTTGAAGACATGTAAGAAGTCTCTCTTAGGTGTGGTGCGTGAGGTGAAGTGTTTGGATGTGGAGGGGAGTGGAGCAAATCAGGATAGGAAGTTGGCTAAGTTCCTAAGCAGCTTTGCCTGTTCAGGCTCAGGGGCCTGCGCTTGCCTCATTAACCTTCATGGTTTTCAAATATGGGAGTGACAACAGAGGTTGTTTGGCAGCAGCAGGCGGGCTGCTTTTGAGGGGCAGGAGGATGAGGCAGTCTGATAAGTTGGGAGGTGACTGCAATAGCTCAGGAATCACGTAGGGAGCAAGTAAACCATGGGGTGGCCGCAGAGACGAAAAGGAAGGGGCGGTGTGTCGGCCTGCGTGAGTGACACGACATGGGAAGTGCGAGAGCCCGAAGGGCCAAAGGTGGAGAGGTCATTAACAGCGTGTGTTTCATACTTGTCACACCTTATTAACATTTTCTACATGAACACTCATCTCCTCGTTAGTCTGCGAGCCCCTAGAGGACAGGGCCCATGTAATCTGCATCTGCCGACGTGAGCACAGCAGGTGCTTGGTAAATGTTTGTTGGGTTAGTGACTGGGACTTAGGAGATTTGGGTTAGTAATGACAGCTGGGGTGTTGGTGGAAATAACATTCTTTTGGGACACTCTGGAATTTGGGGATGTTTATTTTTCGGATGCAATTTCTAGAAACAGAAGGTAGAAAGAAGTGAAGAATTACAAGCCGATATATAAGTGAGGGCAAGATAAAAAAGAGTAAAGAGATGGTATACTGAGTAACTGCTTCTTTCAAGATATCAGGTGAGATTGGAGGGGAAATGCAGCACAGCATCCATCAGGGGAGACTGGACAGATGGGAAGGACTGGGGTGGACTTGTGGGTTGTGTCAGCCAGTGAAAGCTGCAGGGAAGGGGAAGTGGCCTTGAAGGGAGGTGGTAGAGCCCGGAGTTGAGTTTACAGGCTCTGGAGTCAGACTGCTTGAGTGCAAACGCCGGCTCTTCTATTGATTCATTATGTGGTTTCAGTGACTTCACTTTCTCTTGCCTCAATTTCCTCTTCTGCAAAATGAGGGTAATGGTCATACCTGCACAAACACATGTGTGGCGCTCAGAACAGAGCCCGGGATGTAGAAAGCACTCCATAAGCACTAGTTACTCTTCTTATTGGAACCCACTGTGACCACTTCGTATGTATTATCCCACTTAGTCCCTTAATAACTATGTAGGTGGGTGTAATTATCTTCATTCCACAAATGAGGAAACCGAAGGGCAGAGAGGTTTCATAATTTGCTCAGATTCACACAGCCATGTAGTGGTAAAGCTCACCTAAGAGAGATTCTTACCCAATCCATCTGGCACCGAGGCTCAGGCACTCTCTGCTATAACACACTAAGCGAGATAGCTATGGTGAGACCACTTGTGAGTAATTTAGATTTGATCAGTAGGTATTAGGAAGCTGTGGCAGACCCTGGGGCCAGGGAGTAATGTGAGGGGACTATGTGCTGGAAAGATTCATCTGGCAGTCTTGTGAAGGAGGGGAGGCAGAAAGGCTGGAGTGCTAAGGATTCAGACCAGAGATGGGTGAGGAAATGACCAGGTGTGGCAAACCAGAGTTGAGCTGTGATAGGAGAACTAGCTGAATTGTGTCTGATGTAAATGAGATGGAACTGAAGGTCTGTGATGGAAACTGACTAAAGGGGCAGGTGTAGGGGTGGGGCTTGGAGTTTCAACTTGCAAGTTTCAAACACGGGCCTCTAAGAAAATACTGATACTGTGAAACATAATGAGGAAGTTGAGAGGGGAGCCATTTTAGTAACTGTCCCCTTGAGAAGTAGCTACAGAAAAGTGACTGTAGAAGAAGCAGCCAAGAGAATAGTGTCTGAGCATCAAAGTGGGACACTTCATTATTTTTAGTGGCAGTTTGGTTCTGATGGCAACACCCTTGATCGTCTTTACTGTCAATCCCGCTCTGCTTCCCTCCTTCATTTAGGAAGAAAGCTGATGGAACATTCCTTTTTACCCTGGAGTAGGATATTTTCTGTACATAATTGGCATGTGACCTCCTTTTAGAAAGGAGGTTTACACCTCATGGTAGTTCTCATCCACAGCAAGTGCAGTGATTTACATTTGAGGAATTAGGAAAATCAGTTCTGTTGACTTCCTGTTTTCTATTTCAGGCCTCTGAGCAGAACTTCCCATTTGAATGGGGCCAAGCAGAAAACACAAAGCTGGAATTTTCTCCCGAAGGTGATCTACCAAAGGGATAAAGTAAGTTCATGGCCTGAGGTGTTTGCCTCACCCCACTCTTGACGTTTGTCCTTCAGCTGCTCTTGTCTTTCTACTATAGGGAATGAAATGAGGAAAGCTTCTGGTCTTTTCCTGCAGGTCAGTCCCAAAGCTTTAGTGCACTCAAGGGGTAAAAAACATGCTGCTCAGACTGAGCTCTTGACCAGATTTCGCGATTACAGTAGCTTCTCCCTTCAACAGTGCCTAAGAATATTATATTTTGGATTATTTTGTTCAGGTTTCCTGTCTGAACACTTTATTTTACCTGCTAGTGCAAAAGGGTGAGGGAAGCTGAATTTTTCAGCTTTTCCTCCCCTCCTCTCTCCTCTTTTCCTCTTTCTCTGTTTATAATTCAAAATTATGTTCACTTTTATTATCTTATTTCTTCCTTCAGAGCACTCTGTGAGGTGGCTATTATAATCCCCACTTTACAGAAGGTAAGACTGAGGTTTCAGTGAACTGTAGTGACTTGGCCAAAGTTTCTCAGTTAATAACAATTCTGGGCCTGAATCCTCAGTCTTTTGTCTTCAGGTATCTCGTGATTTCTTCTCCCCAAAACCACATTGCTTTTCTGGTGGTGGTTGTGGTCTGCAGGATGCTGACAGAAAGGAGAGGAAATGGTGGCTGGCCTGAACAGATCTCATCTACTATAAAATCATGGACCCTGATTAATAAAACAGAAAATGTTAGCTAAAGATATGGCCATGCAATTCTTCAAGCGTATAGGACTTTGGGTCTCCTTCTGTGTTATAGACTTTAGGATGACGTGACCAAGGGCGTCGTTCACCGCATGCGAGGAGAGTAAATGAAAGAATCAGGTGTGGGCCTAGTGGTGGTCCACACCTTGTACTCAGGTGATGAGGGTTTTTCTGTTGGTTGTTGGGCTGAGGGTGGTATCATAAGACACTTTTATTTTCCTTGTTCCCCAAATCTTGGCAAAGCAGATGGAGGCTGGGGAACCAGTTGTGAGTTGGGGTCGATGGTGAGTGTCTGGACTTTAACAATGCATCAAGTCCCGGATGTAGGAAAAAGGGATAGGAAATGGTGGCTGCCTGGAAGCTGGCGAGGTTGCTGTGCTCCTTAGGAAGGGATGAGAATTAGGACAGGACAGTGAGCGAGGCCTGAGGAAGCCTTGGCCACCTGCTCTGCCAGGGCTCCAGGAAGAGGCTCCTTTGATTTCGGAGGAGTCCTCAGGGCTATTCAGACCAGGTGACCGGGTCGTCCTGATAGATGGTAAACTGCAAGGGACCTTCTGCACCAGAGCTGGCAGATGCCTTCCTGACCCCAGCTGTGAGCAGCAGGCAAGCCAGGCAGTGCCCTCTCTTCCTGTATGCAGCCCCTCCCTGCCCTGCCCCAAAGCAGAAGCGGCCGGGAGGGCTGTGGTCTGGGCCCTGGCCGGGGCCCACGGCCCACATTGCTGTGAGAGCCTGACCGTTCTCTTTCTGGACTGATAGATGACAGGAGGGAAATCACATGTTGTGGCAAGGAGGGACTGGCAAACGTGGGCCCATGAGAGAGGAGGATTTTGAGATTTGGGAAGGAATCTCAGAAGTCTCAGTCCTTAAAAACACACTCGGGCTGGAATATGGTCCAGGTGTGGGGTTAATATTCCGTGTAACTGGCTGATGGAAATGGGATGGGATGAAGGGACCTGGGAGTAGAGGATAAAGGAGGTGATAAAGAACCCAGTTTTGCAATTGACCAGAGGCTGTCCGGTTGCAGGCCACAGGCCTCCAGAGAGGGCTCCTTTCTCTGCGCATTGTATGAAAACAGCCATGCCATCTGCTCTTAAAAAGCCTGTGACGGGGGCTTCCCTGGTGGTGCAGTGGTTGAGAGGCCGCCTGCCGATGCAGGGGACACGGGTTCGTGCCCCGGTCCGGGAAGATCCCACATGCCGTGGAGCGGCTGGGCCCGTGAGCCATGGCTGCAGAGCCTGCGCGTCCGGAGCCTGTGCTCCGCAACGGGAGAGGAAAAAGCCTGTGATGGAATTTCTGTAAGCTGAATTATATTTTAAAGGCATGAGGGACTATCCTCACTTAAAAGAACCTCATGAGAATTACTTTCGAAAAGCAAAGAATCGTTTTAAGGAGTAGACACTCAACACTTGGTTTGAGCCCCTGGATTTTTATGCCTTTGCTCAAAGTAGGAGTCAGCGTTTTGCCCTTTCACGAGGAGGGGAAAATTGTTCTCTTACATCCATGGAATGCAAAGTTCTTAACAGAGTATAGTAATTAATTATTTCCCAGCTACTTTTACTTCTGCTATACTGAAGGTTGGGGGAAGCCATTTCATTAAACAGAATTTAAACATGAAAAAGTTACTTTCTTTGTGCTTTTCTCAGGAAAGGCCTTCTCCAACAGCACTTTTCCAGACAGTTACCAAAGGACAATCCTTGCCAACAGAGACACTCGGTCTCTAAGTCTGGCTTTTGGAAAATGAGTGTGTATTTTTATTTATTTATTTATTTTTCCTAAACAGGACACCGTGAGTTCAGTCATGTACACTATGAAAATAATTGGTGTGTGTTAGTACGCCTTGTTCCAGATTTCATGCTTGTTGAAAGGTGAAATGGTAAAACAATTTAAATGAACGGTTACATTTCTCACAATGGAACAAATCCTTCACATGTGACAGCTGAAGTTCCACGATTTCAATACCTTCTACCTGTTTGCTTGTGGGGTCAGAGGCACAGCCATTTTCATCTTTAATCTGCCCTTTTCTATCACCTTGACGGTACTTGCTGGTGATATCTGCCAATAATGCCAGAGCAGAATCATCAGAGGAACCTGTGCTCTGAATATACGTTATGGACTGCCTGGCAGTAGCCACATCCTCTAACGTTTCAGTGCCTTCATCTTCCACTTCGATTGTGCCCTTAGCAATCTCCACCTCGATTTCAACAGGTTCAGATTCTGCAGACGGTGATGACTCAGTGATAACATTTGAAGTTTCTGCAATCTTTCTTTTTTTTGCTTCACTTTTTCCTGTGATAGTTTCCTCTAGTGGAGCTGAGTTTTCTTTGTTCCTGACTTCAAGGGCTTTGATAGCTTCTAGCATTTGTAGAAACTCTGCTGTTTTCCATACATCGTTGGCTTCTTCTTCTCCTTGTATCATTAATTTTGCTGTATATGTGAACTCAATCAAATGATGAAAGGCCATTTTACTAACACCTTCTATCTCCACCAAAGGTTCCTGAGTAAACTCCTGAAAGAATTTGTAAAAGAACTTGCTGCAAGCAGCCAAAACAGCCTTGTGGGCCTTAAAATGGTGTCCGTCGACAATCAGGGTGATGTCAGTAAACCGGTCCTGCTCTCGCTGTTCATTCAATCGGTCCAGGATCATTTTATGATGTTCAGGGAACTCCTGAAGGCATTCCATCGTCTCTTTGGCCTCCGTGGCCATCGGGTTGTGCTAGCTCACGATCCTCCCTCTCTCCTTTCCGTCCCGAAAGCCTTACCTTCTCTACTCTCCCCTCTCGGGGTGTAACTCGCCCCACACTTTTCCCTAACCCTGAACAGCGCCTCACCCGCCATTTCCTCGCGAGTGCCCGGGCGCTCCCTCTGCTTGGGTCTGGCTGGCGCACGTGGACTCGCTCCGAGACCCGGACGGCTGCGGCGCGGGCGGCGGCGGCGGCCACCTGTTAGATGTATTTCTATGTTATTTGGTATTTTTGATGCTGTTGCAAGTTATATTATTTTGTAGATTTCAATCTCTGTTGCTCATATCAGAAAAACAATTGATTTTTCTACCCAGAACTTGTTAACCTTCCTGATTAATTCAAATACTTTATAGATTCTTTTGAATAACACAATCATGTGGTCTAAAAGTATTGATAATTTTACTTACTCTTTTCTAATTCTTTGCCTTCTTTTGGTCTTATTCCCCTGGCTAGGCTTTCCAGTACAGTGTCAAATAGAAGTGGGGATAGCAAATATCTTTTTCTTTTTCCTGATCTCAGAGGAAAAGTTTTCAACATTTCAGTGTTAAAAGTGTTGTTTGGTGTGGTGTTTTAAAATTTGTTTTTGTAAATATTCTTTATTAGATTAATAGATGTTAAATTTTATCAAATGCTTTTTCTCAAATCTATTAAGATGATAGAGATTTCTCTTTCATTCTGTTAGTCTGGTTAACTACACTGAATTGATATTTTAAAATGTTAAACCAACCTTGTGTTCTGGGATAAGCTGAAGTCAGCTATGGTGTGCCACATTATTACTGGATTCAGTTTATTAATATTTTATTTAAGATTTTTACATTTATTGTATGAGAGACTCTGACCTGAACTTTCTTTTCTTTTAATAACTTTGTCAGGTTTTGGTATTAAGGTTATGCTGGCCTCATAATATGAGTTGAGGAGTAGATATTGGTTATTTGTCTCTTATCTTATTTCCTTTTTAATCCATCTTACCAGGGGGTTATCAAATTTCTTTTTACCATCTTACCAGTCTTCTCAAGTAACAATTTGTTGGCTTGGTTGATATTCTCTGTTGTATTAAAAATTTTCCCATTAATTTTATTCTTTTATCATTTCCTTCCTTTTCTTTTGGTTTAATTTGCTATTCTTGTATATCTTCTTGACATAGAACCTAAGATAATTGATTTTTTTAAGCTTTTTTTTCCCCTCACCTAATATCTACAAATAAATATTCCTCAAAGATCAAGTTTAACTATTTAATGAATTTTCCTTTGTAGGATTTTCATTTTTATTTAGTTCAAAATATTTTTGAATTTCCACTGAAGTTTTCTTTGACCTCTGTGTTCTTTATAAATATATTACTTAATTCCCAAATATATGGGGATTTTCTAGTTATCTTTTTGTTATTGGCTTCTGCTTTAGTCACTTAAAAAAGAATACAGCAGTTTCTTGGTATCCGTGGGGAGATTGGTTCCATTACCCCCAGCAGATAACAAAATCCGTGGATGCTCAAGTCCCTTAGGTAAAGTGGCATAGTACACAGTAGGCCCTCCGTACCTGCCATTTGCAGAGCCAGCTGTGTATATTCTGCTGTTATAAGGGTTGTGTTCTATATAAGTTAATTAAATAAAGTTTTTGAATCATGCTTTTCATATTTTCTCTGTAATTGCTAATTATTTATCTGTTACAAGAAGGGTATGTGAAAATGTCTCATCATGACTTGTGGATTTACCATTTTTTCTTTTAATTCTGCCAATTTTTTTTTTTTTTTTTTTTTTGGGGTTCGGGGGCCTCTCACTGTTGTGGCCTCTCCCGTTGCAGAGCACAGGCTCCGGACACGCAGGCTCAGCAGCCATGGCTCACGGGCCCAGCCGCTCTGTAGCATGTGGGATCTTCCCGGACCGGGGCACGAACCCGCGTCCCCTGCATCGGCAGGCGGACACTCAACCACTGCGCCACCAGGGAAGCCCTAATTCTGCCAATTTTTACGTTAAAAATCTTGAGGCTATTAATCACATATAGAACTGTTACATCTTCTTTGCAAATTGAACTCATCAGTATGAAAACTTCCTTTCTCTCAGCTAAGTCTTATTGTCTTAAAATCTGTCTTGTCTGCTATGAATATGGCTACCTCAGCTGTGTCTTGGGATAGTTTTTGCATAGTGACTTTTCCTCATTTTTCCACCTTTAGTCTTTCCAATATTCTTAAATTTAAAGAATCTCTTATAAGCACATACAGTTTTTGTTTAATCCAGTCTAGCAATTTTGTCTTTTAATTGAAATATTTAATCTGTTTATGTTTCATGTAATTATTGATACATTTGGGTTTAAATCTATCATCGTAATACTTGCCACCCATTTGTGCCATCTTTCTGTCCCCCCTTTACTTTCTTTTTGTTTGAAGTTTTAAAAAATTAGTATTTTTATCCACCTTTCCTCATCTGTTGGCTTGGTAGTTACACATCCCTTTCTATACTTTTGGCAGTTAACAAAAATTATCACGTGCATCACTTACTTATTAAAGCCTAAGACGAATGAATACTTTTGCCATTTCCTGGACAATTCACAGAAATTAAGATACTCTAATTTCAGTCCCCTGCTCCTAACTTATAGTGTGCTCTTGTTTAAGTGTTCTAATTTCATATCTATATTTAAACTTCTCAGGATATTATTATGGCATAAATTATTATTGAATACATTAGGTATGCATTTAGATTTACCCACATATAACCCGTTTTTTGGGCTCTTCAGTTTTTTCTCTCAATCCTTCATTTATGAACACTTCCTTTCTCCCTGAAGAGTACGTGTAATGTTTCACTGAGGACATGCCTGCTGCTGAGGAATCTGTTGGTTTTTGTTTTTCAGAGCATGTCTTTACTTAGCCTTTGTTTCTGAAAGATATTTTTACTGGGTATAGAATTTTAGGCCGACAGTTATTTTTTTTCCAGCATTTTGAAGATATCCCATTGTTTTCTGCTTTCACTGTCATCCAGTGTCTTCCAGATCTTATCTGGATAGGTAGAAATAATACTAGGCATGCAAACTTTTAACCCAAAGGCTAAATAAAAATGCATCTATGAATTCGTAGCTCTATTTTTTATGGAATTTTGCAAAACTGCATATGCATATGTCTTGCTCAGATCACTTTCACAGTCTCAGAGCAGCTCATTTTGTAAGAAACACCCATAATACTATTCCATATCCTTTTCTTTTAAAAAAGTGTTTTTTATTTGTTTATTTATAACATCTTTATTGGAGTATGATTGCTTTACAATGTTGTGTTAGTTTCTGCTGTATAACAAAGTGAATCAGCTCTACATGTACATATATCCCCATATCCCCTCCCTCTTGCGTCTCCCTCCCACCCTCCCTATCCCACCCCTCTAGGTGGTCACAAAGCATGGAGCTGATCCCCCTGTGCTATGCGGCTGCTTCCCAATAGCTATCTGTTTTACATGTGGTAGTATACATATGTCCATGCCACTCTCTCACTTCGTCCCAGCTCACCCTTCCCCTCCCTGTCATATCCTTTTCATTTATGATGTCAGTCCACATGGGTCTGCCTTGAATTAGCATTCCTGATCATTTACAATTTTATTTCACATGGCTGTTGGTTAGCTGTGTCTCACTGAATATTTTCATTTTTGGATATCTCTTGTTGGAAAAATAGCTAAATGTGATGCCTCCTTACTGAGCATATTGTGTCTATGATTGTGTATTAACTTATGACTTATTTCTTCACCTAGAAAGTATTTTGGCTACAATATTAACTTCTTTTGGCATTAATATTGTGCTTGAACTATGAACTAGACCCTTTCAAAATATTTTTTCCTATACTAAAATCTACTACAATATAATGTAGCACTTAAGAACATGAGTTTTACAGTAGTAAAGATCAATAAAACTAAAAGCTGGTTCTTTGAGAAGATAAACAAAATTGATAAGCCATTGGCCAGACTCATCAAGAAAAAGAGGGAGAGGACTCAAATCAATAAAATTAGAAATGAAAAAGGAGACATTACAGCAGACACCACAGAAATACAAAGCATCCGAAGAGACTACTACAAGCAACTCTATGCCAATAAAATGGACAACCTGGAAGAAATGGACAAATTCTTAGAAAGGTATAACCTTCCAAGACTGAACCAGGAAGAAAGAGAAAATATGAACAGACCAATCACAAGTAATGAAATTGAAACTGTGATTAAAAATCTTCCAACAAACAAAAGTCCAGGACCAGATGGCTTCACAGGTGAATTCTATCAAAGATTTAGAGAAGAGGCAACACCCATCCTTCTAAAACTCTTCCAAAAAATTGCAGAGGAAGGAACACTCCCAAACTCATTCTATGAGGCCACCATTACCCTGATACCAAAACCAGACAAAGATACTACAAAAAAAGAAAATTACAGACCAATATCACTGATGAATATAGATGCAAAAATCCTCAACAAAATAGTAGCAAACAGAATCCAACAACACATTAAAAGGATCATACACCGTGATCAAGTGGGATTTATCCCAGGGATGCAAGGATTCTTCAATATACGCAAATCAATCAATGTGATACACCATATTAACAAATTGAATAATAAAAACCATATGATCATTTCAATAGATGCAGAAAAAGCTTTTGACAAAACTCAACACCGATTGATGATCAAAACTTTCCAGAAATTGGACATAGAGGGAGCCTATCTCAACATTATAAAGGCCATATACGACAAACCCACAGCAAACATCAGTCTCAATGGTGAAAAACTGAAAGCATTTCCTCTAAGATCAGGAACAAGACAAGGATGTCCACTCTCACCGCTATTATTCAACACAGTTATGGAAGTCCTAGTCATGGCAATCAGAGAAGAAAAAGAAATAAAAGGAATCCAAATTGGAAAAGAAGAAGTAAAACTCTCACTGTTTGCAGATGACATGATACTATACATAGAGAATCCTAAAGATGCCACCAGAAAACTACTAGAGCTAATCAATGAATTTGGTAAAGTTGCAAGATACAAAATTAATGCACAGAAATCTCTTGCATTCCTATACATTAATGATGAAAAATCTGAAAGAGAAATTAAGGAAACACTCCCATTTACCACTGCAACAAAAAGAATAAAATATCTAGGAATAAACCTACCTAGGGAGACAAAAGACCTGTATGCAGAAAACTATAAGACACTGATGAAAGAAATTAAAGATGATACCAA